CCTCCTCCTCTTCCTCCTCCTCCTCCTCCTCCTCCTCCTCCTCCTCCTCCTCCTCCTCCTCTTCGTCCCCCTCCCTATTCATCTCTGCCCTTCCCTTCTTCGCTGGACTCCGAATCAATCTGCTTCTGATGCGCGCCGAGAACGTTGTTTTCGACTTGTCTTGTGCGCCGCAACAGCGTGGGCTAGGCCTACGCCCCACGCATAGGGTTGGGGTGCGATGGCCATGCTTTCCCTATCTTCGTTTGGGTGTGGTACTCCGTACAGCGTACAGGCAGGGCCAGAGCGCACAAGCGCACACGAGGCACACAGATGCGCCTTAACCCTCCTATTACATCCGCAGTAACTTTGTGTGGTCTTGGCGTTTGGGTGGGGGGAGGGGGGGGTATTCCCCTCCCCCAAAAACAACATCCGAATTAATAATATGGTTCCAAGGCGTGGAAAAAAGATGTTTTCGGCATCGTTGGGCCTGCCTGTTCTTTTGTCGTGGCGATAATATAATGTCTACGATTGCGTGAAAGGCAGTCGCGGTCAAGCACTTCCAAACAAATGGGGGTGGACCTTACTATGATGGCATCATTTTTTCGAGTCGTCAAAGCCGGTTAGGCGAGAGAGCCTGAGGAGCCCCATTTCGTGGATCATCCTTCGGAGGGGCATTCAAAAGGCAACGGCTTGGGGTGAGGGTGGAAGGGTACTTCGCCTAGGCTTGGCTATGCCGCACTTCTCGATGTGCCACCCATCGGAAACCTTGACCTTCCAACAAGATTCACATGGATTTTGGTATTTCACGCGAGGCAACGTTGCGTTCTGCAAACGGGAGACGCAGCAGCCACTACGGCATTATGGCGCTGTACGAATGCTCTAGAGAAGAGGTACTCTTTAAGGCGTCTAAGGGAAACGTTGACGAAGCTGTTTAGTCTCGAGTTAGGACATGCCCTGGGGTTGCCAAATTGAGTGGGAGTGGGGCGAGAACGGTGATGTACCAGTGGGTATGGCGGGCGTGGGCGGGTGTAAGTTTATTGATCGAACTGATGTGCTGCTATCCGCCTATCCTTCTTTTCAGTATTAGAAGGAGTGGGATTGTGATCAGGCGTCGGCGGCGTTCCGGTGGCCGGGGTCAAGTGTTGAAACCTGAGGAGTATGCGCTGCACTCTGGGATGATGGACGGGCAACTATTACGGGCAGGGGGTTGTCGTCGTGGTCGATCGAGCAGCAAGGGAGATGGCAGTTCACCGCGTTCCAATCCTACATGAGGAACAAATTGGATGCTGTGGAGAAGGTATTCTCTTTGCGTTGTCATCGGCAGCCCGAGGAACGGGGCTCCAGCCCGGGCAAACACCGCGCTGGAAGGGCGCGCGCACGGGGTCCGTGGGAGCGTCTGTACCTACAGTACAACCTTGTTGAGCTTCTCGTTGGGCTCAAAGCGACGTGCTTTCATTGGATTGGATTGGATTGCGGTCGGAGGAGAGGAGGACGGAGTTTGAGGTTGGGGTGCAAGTTGAAGGGAACGGGCGGAATTGAGGGGATGACACAAACGCACTCCAGTAGAGACAGCAAGCAGTAACCGTTGGAGGTAGATCGACTCTTGGGGCCAACTCTTGGCCCTTCTACAGTACACCTGTTTTACAGTAGCTCGCGAAGAATGTCATGTGGCTGTTCACATCTTTGAGCTGGGGGTGCTGGGGTACGTGGGGAGCGCCAGTCTGTTGCGGATGCTTTGTATAGGGGAGGGGAAAGAGGGTAATGGCGGGGAGGGAGAATCGCGACGAGATACCGCAGGTTCCACAACGTTGCGCCGCGTCTGTATGTGCTCGGGTGCTCGGTTAGAACTTGGGTAGAAAGCGCGATGTATAATAGGGGCAAACGGGGAAACAACTCGCCCACCGATGAAAGGAGGCACCGGGTGAGAGGTGAGAGAGTCTCTCTTGTTTATCTCTAGAGGAATATCTCGAATCTCGAAGCAGCTTTGCACTTGCGCCAGAGTCCAGGGCTGGCACGCTGGCACTGTCGGCATCATCCAATCGTCGTTCTCTCTTTCTTGCGTTTCAGAAATTTCGGAACAACACAGAACTTTCTGTGCGTCCTAATGGTGCGGCGAGATCATCAAACTGAGGAACCCTGTACAATCAGGAACGCTACCTTGTGGTGGTTGGCCAATCGGACAACAACGAATCCCGAGTCCCCTGTTCCCTGTTTCCATGCTTGAGGGGTCACACGAGGGGTCATTCCGCACATCCTCGCTCTCACACCGCGAATCGTCAGTCTCCACCTGCGGGCAACCCGGAGAACGCTCAATCAATCAGCCGCAATAATAGCCAACCACAATTGATTGTGGACGAGGGCGCCGGCTTGAGTCAGCAAGAAGGGCTTGGCTGCTCAGAACTTCAAGCCGCCGGAGGGGCACGCCGCTGAGAGGTGCGGTGATTGTATTCGTGTTCATTTTTTTTCTCGTCTCAATGGAAACAACGTATGTATTTGTGCTGCTTGTCGGACGATGGTGCATAGATTGTACAGCAGTACTGCTTGGACATCGTGCCTCCGCTTGATTTCAGCCGCCCTAACTTGGTGGCGGTGATGCATGCTTCGTCCCTCTCGCCCCCTGCAAGTATACCCGTGCCGTGCTCGATGATGTAGTGTTTTTCCTCGACCTTTTTTTCTCCAAAGATGTTTGCTTTAGTCGTGTTTAGATACATAGAACTGTAGAGGTGCAGGAGAGCAGCAGAGCAGCAGCGCCTGTCTCGAGCACAGCACCAGACCAACGGCAAACTGCCCCTACACCTTTGGATGCGGATATTTGACGTGGTTGTTGGCAGATGTACACTACAATAGATTGGAGGATCAGAATCCCAGCCCAAACCTCGCGCTCTCCCCGTGGGCGCTGGATGCACCTAGTCTGAGAAGGATACATACTAAAACAGGAGTTCAATAACAACTACGGAGTTGTGAAGGAGCAGCCGACCTGTTCCCTTTAGGTATTTTTGTTCTTCCAAACACATTGTGGCGTCGTCTGGCATTTGGACTACACGTTCGTCGGCATTGTGTCCGATCAACAGCACGCGTACTAGACTATTTTGGCTATTTTTTCTACCATTGTTGTCTACTGAAGATCTTCGGGGGAAGGGACTCTCTGGTTTTGGGGGGGAAAGGACTCTCTCGAATGTTCGCTTTTCCACATACAACATTTCCACAAACAGATTCTCAAAAATTCTGCAAGCACAACTTTTGTCTGTAGTTCGACGTATATTTATATCCGATACCACACACACACCTCGAGTGAACTTCCCTAGTTCTACCCGTCATCAGCTCCGCTTCATTGCGCACCTTTTCGACAAAATTAGGCACGCTACGCACACCCTCTTCCACTCAACTAAAATAAAACTCTATTTCTTCACCTCACCGGGGCCTATACATTCTTCGTCTAAATGACCGTCTGACCCCACGGCCCAGCAGCCTTCGCAAGGATTCTCCTTTAAATAAATAGCTTGGTTGTAGTCGAGGCGCTACGGGGGGGGTAGGGGTTGGGGTTAGGGATAAGGGCAGGGAAACAACCCCCCCTCTCTATGCTATAGTTTATTTGAGTGTACCTTTTTAGGGTAAGTTAACCTGTGACCACCGGAATCGACCGCGTCGAGTGTTGGATCAGTACGGACATACGAAGGTACTGGGTAGAGAGAGATCGGAACGGTTTTTAATGTGAAGACAACAACAACAACAACAACAAATGCTATAGAAATATCCTATAAACCTGCGGCCCAATGGGGGCGGGGGGGGGCGATATTTCACCCTATTTTAAGAAAATAGGCAACTTGGGCCCGTTATTTTCGAGCGAACAAAACCAACGGAAAATCCTGCCGCTACTTACCGCAAATTTCCTTTACCGGTGGTGCTGGCTACCCTCCGCTTGGTGTCTCGTCTGGCTTCAACGAAGGCTGAGGCGACGGGTTGCACCCTACTCGCCGATAGTACACTAGACTAACCCTCCCTGTGTCGGAAAGAAAGAACCGGCCCCGCGTGGCCTGTGAGAGATTCCGTCATGAAATTCGTCATCGCGTGCGTTTCCGGCGGACCTTCGGATGGTTTTGGCTTTGGGTGGTTTTGGCGGGCACAGTTAAGCTCATCCAGCGCATAACAACAACAACACCATCCACTCGCGGCGGTGATTGTTTCGTACAGAAAAGTGGCCTTGGAATGAGACAGTGTGGGACTCCGACGAGGTTTGCACACTATTTTTCTGCAGTAGCACGGCCCTCCTACCCCGCGTTACTGGTGTCCACACCTCTGGCTTAACGGATCTATGAAATGTGTATTTTCTCCGATTGGTCGGTCCGTTTTTTCACGCATCTTAGAAACAATTTCTTCACGGATCCATGCCTTTTTTCTCGGATTCGTGAACAAAAGCTCTCGAAAACAACGCGCGTTCGGATAGCTTTTCGGCCGAAAATGGGAAAAAATAAGCCTTAACCGTTGATCAACGTTTCTTGTCCGCGGGCATGTTGTGTTCACGATTTCGAAGGCTCCAGAAGCAGGGGTTTCGGAGGGAAAATGATGTTCGTTTCATTTTCAGCAGTACCTGGACCACACTTACAACTACTTCTCGTATCCGGGCTTTTGTACTTTCAACAACGTTTTTTGGTCCATCATCGCGGAGGATCCCTTATCCTCGAAGTCTTAGTTTAAGCAATTCCGCCGAACTCACCAATGGCCCTCTCACTACTGTATGCCTTGCCAGGGAGGGCGCTGCTGCTGCTTCCTTCGCCATGGGGGAGCTCGTGCTGGCGAAGTTCGCGGGGCAAGCGGTGGTAAACATCGTGGAGCTAATTCTGGAGTGTGTGGACTCGATCGGAAGTATTGTGAGAGGCATGAAGGAGAACAACCGTCACGCTTCTCAACTGTTGGAGATAGTGGAGGCAATCGAGCCTCCCATACGCGCCATACAGAAGAAGGGCACCACACTGTCCGGTTCCGAGTCGCTGCGCCAGCTGCTGGAGACCGTGCAGGAAATCCGAACCGTCTTGGACGAGTACGCGCGGACGTGTATTGTCGCGCGCGCTTTGAAGAGGAAGAAGATCGCCAAGAAGTTCGCATGGCTCGGCAACAACCTCACCCAGAAGATGCACGCGGTTCAGCTGGGCGACATAGCGGACCGTTTGGACGATGTGCCACCTGCACCGGCTGCCGCTGTGCAACGTGCACCGGCTGCCCGGACGAGCATTGGAGTTCCGGCGAAGAACGTGGCGGACGTGCTGAAACAGGCGCCGACGACTGTAGGGCAATCCACCGCAGTAGGGGCAGCGGCCGGCGGGGCAGGCGGGGCTTTGTTGGCGGTGGTTGGTGCGGAGACCTTGACCGCGGCGGCAATCGCGAACGCTGCCTTGGCGGGAGCGGTTTGTACGGGCATCGTTGGTGTAGCGGTTGGAGTGGGGATTGTAGCGTACCAAGCGATGAATTTTGCTCAGTCCAGCCAAACGTCTTCCTGATGTCGTGTTGCCCAGCAAACATTGCGAACTGAAAAGGGCCAGACGAGGTTGCAAGCACTCTCAAGAGGCAGATATCGAATAACACAATCGACGCATAGCCCAAACGGATGGACACGGCGGCGTTATGGGGGGGGGGTAGTTTGGTATTCCAGCAACGGCATTTCTGATGGAGGAGAGGGGGTCAGAATAGAGGAACGGCGTAACTCGATCCTCCTTGTGTGTCTACCCGTGTTCATCAGAGATCTGTTCTGAGTCCAACAAGTGCCTGGGTCCTAGGAAAACTTCGGCCTGCACCGCGTTAATCGTGTCCGTGTCCACTGTTCGATGGGGTTAATGTGGATATATATGAACGGGAGGAAAAGTCTAAATGAATGGTGCGCAACAGGTTATTCTTGTTGCTATTAGTCTGTCGTCTTGAAGTGCCAATTTTTTTTAATTAAGAAGACTTCCTTCCCCGCCATGTTTCTCAAAATAAAACTCTCCTGATCGGAGGATTAGTTTTCTCGCCTGTTCGTCTCGCACGATGTTTTGTCTGTTGCGAATACCTGTCCGTCCGGTTCCGTATCCTTGGTTGGACGAAAAGGGGGCAGTTTTTCGCGAGGCCGGAAGAGGTAGACAGCCTCGATTCATGGACCACGCTTTGTGCTCGGAGCAGAATAGAGGCATCTTCCCTCAGAAGTCGGGGAATATTACAGTCCGTCCCTGTACTTATTGTTTTCCGGGGACATTTTCTTGATATCTCCACCTATCATCTTGGGGGGGGTGGCAGCAGTGGGGGGTCGTTCACTGATTTAATCTTGCCGACGGAGCCTCTCTGATCATAATTCCTTAAATAAATCTAAAAACCCACACGGGGAGGGCGAGAAGAGCCCGAAACGTCTGGGGGTGGCTTCCGAAATTTTGGTGGACGAGCCCTCGTGAGGTCGGGGAGCGGTGACTCTGCAGGGTCGGTCGTGTTTTTTTTAGTCTTCGCAGGGTTCTTGTACTAAGAGAAAATATGTTGGATAGAGCATGCCATCGGGGAAGTTGGGTTAGGGAACAGGGCCTGCGTACCCCCTTTCTGTTCGATTTCCTCGAAATACTTAATTTCCCTCGAAGGCGGTCCGTTTTTTTGGGAGTGGGGGATACGGGTTACACAAAGCTGCGAACAGATTGAGTGTGTGTCATTGTTTCATTACCCCGTAGTTCGCCTGGCGCCGGTAGCTTTACATGTAAGCACACAACGCCACCACCCACACGCCCAAGCCTACTTGCAGTTTTGGTGGGGATCGTACAAAGAGTGAGAGTACAGCAGTAGTTTTTTCTCGTGTTCCGGGCAGCAGTTGAATCTTATCGATTGGCGTATGTATGTTTATTGAGTTCCTTCCGTGCCGTTGTGCAACTACATACACTACTTGTAATCATGTGCTAATCGATCGCGAGGTGGACATGTTTTCTGTCGAACACATAGGAGGCGGGAGGGTTCTCCGTTTGTTTCATGACCGAGTGACGTCTCCGACAGCATTTTTGTCGACGAAGGCTGGAAAGCTCAGCAGCAGCAGAGCAATTATTGTTTGGGTCGTGAATTGCTTTATTTGCCGGCCGAGTGAATTTTGATGTATGCTGAGAGTCCCAACGGCCCCCATTTATGGTCATGTTTTTTGTTGAATCGAAGCCCACAGGGCTCCAATCAATCCGCTTCACGGAGAAAGTTGTGGTAGATGTGCACTGGGCTATACCCTACCTAGCTGTGTGAAATGACAACAACAGTGACCCTGCGCCGATAGATGGTCCATGTGTTCAAATGCAGAGCAGATTTCCGCTGTCCACTCACTGCTGTGTACTGCTGTACGGGCACATTGCAGTATCCAGTAGGTCGACTGCAGCTCAATGGACTGTGTACGACGCTCATTCTAGTCTATACTTTTATCGCGCTGTGACCAGCAGCGACCTGTGTACGTTCCAGCGCGATTGGATTCTCTTCATTCCTGAATCATACACAGTCAAGCACTCCCACATCCATTGCACCTCTGTTGATTCCAGACGCGGGCGTATCCGTGTGTCATGCGATATGTGTTGGATGTATTCACAGCATTGACAGATTATTGCAACCGAGGAAATGTTCCTAGAAGATGGAGCGGGGAATGTACGCGGAATGTACCCATACCCACCGAATCCAACAGTCTAGGGGGCTCCGTGATTTTTCCGGGGCGGCGGGGGTGCTGGAACGTACTGTAACGTCGTGGTGGTACGATGTTACCCTGTGGTTGGGTTGGCATTTGGATCTTCACCGGGAAGGATGCGGCTCCCTGGCAGATCATAAACCTCATAGCCTCTGTAGTCGTGCCGTGCCCTACGCCCACCAAAGGCAGGAAGGGTAACAACACTCTCACCATGGCCACCTCTTTCGCTCACCTTCGACAAAGATTTCGTCTAGCCTCGTTCGTCGGCTGGCACAGCCGGCTGGCAGACGGGCCCAAGTACGTTTCCCTCTCCGCACTCAAATCTGCCTTTGGGGTTGCCGGAGTGGTGTTGACGGAAGATGAGGTGGGGTATCTGGTCAAGAAATTCGCGGACAACAGGTAAATTGTGGATGGTAAATAGACGTGCATTGTTGTTCTCGTGCGTCGACTGCAGCAACGCAACAACATTGATTGTTCTTTGCAACATGCATGCATGTAGTCCAAACAAGTCTCACACAGTCTCGGCCATTTGTGTACCGATCCTTTAGCTTCTTACGGCTGCCATCTGCTGAGGTGTGACCCGGGCTCACACGACAGAAACTCCTTGTGGTATCTACGTGCGTTCTTTTCGTCCCGAGAAGAAGTTGACATTTCGTCGGAATGGCCGCACAGACCTGCTGGTGGCCGATAGGCGTTTTGACATCGTTGTATGTAGACTGTGTATGTGTGCACCGGAGACAACCACCTACATAGCAGTCATTGAATAAGAGTGTGGTGAAATGGTGGCATATGTACAGCCTGCATTAACATTCCTTTTGGATTAGAGATTGGCCGACGACGGCATGCTGTCCTCTTTGTCTTCGTCGCATTTGCGCCGCAACCCGTGTGCAGTCTACGCCCGGTCCTGCCTTGAAAAGCCGCAAGTTCTTCAATCGTTCTGGGGGATCGCATGATGATTGCCAGCACTCACCACTAATGCAGAATACTAAGACTTACCCACCTGTGGCTGGATATATTCATTTTTCCAGGAGGCGAATCGACTGGAAGAGACTGATGATAGCTCTTGACGTGGGACCTCCGGCCGACTTCACCGATCCCGATCGCTCCTTCTTGGACAACCTTCCCCAGCCCTACCGCCTCATCGTCAGCGTTCTCGAAACCGAGGTGTTTTCCGCGACCAACTCGACGACGAATAGAAGCGCCTTCTTTGAATGTGTAGACTAAATATTCTCTCCTCGGCAGTCCGTCGGACCGGAAACGTACCGTACACTGTTTGCTATGTCTTCAGTTCCGAGACCGATGATGATGGGAACAGACCAAGCACGTTGTACACCGTTTTTAGAGCCTCGTGATAAACAACTCACAGCAGCACAAGGAGAATGTTTACGGTCGTTGGTTGACTCATTTTGCTCGTACCTGGTGTTCGACGACCGAACGAATTCGATTTCATTTTGATCACCTGACTCCCGCCGCGTGCAGCGTCCTCGCCAAGTAGTCGGACAATACCCCTTCATGAAACATACCGTGACAGCAGTAGCCGAACGATTGCACACGACGGAAGGCTCACGCATCGTCTGCGAACTTCCTATTCTCTCTCCTTCCCTACCGCGCCGGTCCACGCGCATTGTCACCCGCGCGCCCGATTCTTCGGTGTACGGACAGATCGTCGACCGCGCATGGGAGCTGGTCGTCGAGCGACACCCGGAGCTGGACACTAGCCCGGCCGACGAAGCCAGGGCAGCAGCGGACATCGATCTGAAGCGGTCCTGTCATCCGTTTGTGCGGCTACTAGATCCGCACTCTCCGCTGCCGGCGCATGCTGGAGATGTCAAGCCCGTGGCAGCTGCAGCCAAAGAAGGCGAAGCTATAGCGGCGGACGGATTTCTTGATGGCAGGGGGTCATCCGAGTTACTGTTCGAAGGAAAGGACAGGAACGGCGACGCTGACGACGATGGTGGCGGAGGCGAAAACGATGCCGGTAACGTATCGACCATGCAGTGGGACAATCGGGGCCAGGTGCGTATTTGAAATGCATGACATAGATGCCAGAACATGAGCTTCGGGCATTTTCTAGCCCTTCGTGTATCGCGTGTTAGGTTGTTGGTTGATGAAGTCCGCCCTGGCCTAAAATATCAGACCGTTCTAAATATAGATGTTGTCGTTGCTTCGATCTGTTGGTTTGCGCCAACAGTTCCTTTTCACCGGAGGGCGCGACGGCTCGGTCTGCGTTCGACTCGCCGGCGCCGTTAAAGATATCGGAGTCCAGATCAGGAGCAGCAGCCTCTGCGGGGAAACATTCTCGGAGGGAAACGCGAAATCGGCCGCGGTTACGTTCCTGTCCCGCCCTGTGGGATCTCTCGGAGGTCAGGTGCACACGGAGCAACCCCATACAGGGAGTTCAATTGCAGACAAGTCGCTCTATCTACTCGTAGAGCAGGAGGTCGTGCATTTTGAGGAGTGAAGGAGTGAAGAGGCTTGTATGGAAACAAAGTAATCTACAGGAGTGTAGATGTTTTCGTCCAGCGGCAGTAATATTGAGCACATATGCGCAAATTGCTATGAGATGCTTGGAGCGTGCTTGCATGGGTGCTTGCTGACGCTCGGTGCTCATATGTCACGCCGTGAAAATGATCGCTTGTGTCAGGCCGATCCTCGTCAGTTCGGATAGCAGCCGTGGTGACAAGCTCCTGCCCAGACAGTGGCCACGGCAATCCGGACCAAACGGGAAACAGAGAGGCAGGACAACAGGAAACGGAGCGTGATGCCGGAGCAGAGCCACGGCCGGCGTGCCCGTCGAGCGCTGTCTCCGTTCTAGAGATGACCGTGCCCCGATCAAGAGCTGGCGATGAAGCTGGCGGTAGCCCGGCTAGGGGTAGTCTCGAACACCATCAGGGCGCGCGCAGCGAGCACGGAGCCGATGCCGCGAACAGCGGCAACAGGAGAAACTATGCACCCGCGTTCAGGGTTATATGTACCGTCGAACTCCATTCCGAGCAGGAGAATGCAACCGCGGTGTCGTGCACGCTGTCCCCCGACGGGAGACGCCTCGCCGTCACGACTGCAAGCGGCCGCGTCTCCACCTGGTCTCTCCCCCCCGTCTCCGCGCCTCTCGAGAGACACCGCAATCGATCTCCCCAGCAGAGCGCGAGGGAGGACGATGATGTCGACGGCGTTCAGCCCGGTTCCTCACGAACCTCCGCGGGTCACGGCCGAGAAACTCCAAAGGAGGGAATGGCGGGCCAACAAGGTGGCGAGCGCGGTGCGGGCGTCGGCGAGAGCGGCGCTGTCTTGGCCGGGAGAGACGACGACGCCAGTACGTCGACTAACACCGCGGCGAAGGCGGCGGCGGCGGAAACGGCGGAGCCGCCGCCGCCGCCAACACAGCTAGGGCAACCGGAGTTCACCATACCTCACGTGCCTTCGCCAGAAGAGCTTTCCCACGCGAAAGCCTTGCAGGAGTACCGCAAGCGCGTAGAAGCCGGGGAAATCCAAGAGCCCACGTCAACCCAGGAGGAGGAGGAGGAGGAAGGCTGCACGCCCCCCCCGAAACCACCTCAGCTATCGGGACTCGCACACCACTTGGCCCGCGTTGACTTCATACCCGCGGCTGATGGACGCCTAAACGGCGGCGGGGGCAGCACCGGGGGGCTCGCAGTCTGGAGGTCTAACTCCAACGTGTGCCGGCTTTTCCGCCTGCCGCCGCCGGTGTACGACGGCGACGGGGGGCAGCGGCAGACCGTGGAAGGGGGCAACAACGACGGTGGCGTCGAGTTATCCCGTACGGGTACCGTTGCGGCCAGCAGTGGGTTCGAGAGTGCCGACAAGACAGGCATAGGCAGTGAGGGCTCGCTGGCGGCAAAGTACGACATATCCCGCCTGCCATCTGTGGAGTGGGTCTTGCCGTCCCCAATCACAGTTCTCGCGGTCTGCGAAGAGGAAACAGGAGGGGAAGCTCAGGACGATGGCCGTGAGAAGGGCGGCGGGTGGAGCTGTTGCGGTGGTGCCGATGCGCCGGCCCCGCTCGTCGCCATCGGGACTGAAAACGGAGGGGTTTACCTGGGCGATGCGGCCCTGGGCACGACAAGAGCGGGGCTGTCGAGACACCGTGCTCGGGTCACCGCTCTGGCGTTCCACGGGAAAAGGTGAGAGGTTCCGATGGAATGCGCAGCAAAAGGCGGAGAAGAGATGGAAAAAACAAAACAAACAAACAAGGGAAAAGTTGACTTTTTCGCGAAGGCCTAGTGCGACGACAGCACCACCAACACGGTGTTGCTCGTTGTCGGTCCTCCGAGGGTGGTTCTTCCAGGCTGCAACCACCGCTCGTGGATGGTTTTAGTTTCATGCGTTGGCAAGCATCCTCGTCAGTGACGAGCTCTTGTCAACGTCCTCACGGCCCCCTAGTCCCGAATGAACTAGGGCTTATATTGGTGGGTAACTGGCGTGCTCGTTGAACGGCCCGATTTGACATGTGCCACCGCAAAATCTATTCTCCGCTGAAGAACGCACGGCAGGGATAAAATATAATGCATTTTGTAATCCTGTCTCTTGGCCTCGGCGGTGACGTGGCTGGCGCAACTGCCTTACAGATTTCTCGTCTCTGGCAGCGATGACGAGATGATCCAGATCCACCACTTGACTGTCGCCGATCCAACCGGAGCTGGTGGAGACAGGCGCTGTGTCGGCGGGACCCCGCGTTTGCGATGCCTGCACGACGCGCGAGGCAGCGGGATTGTTCGATTGGCGTGTTTCCGAGAGATGCCCCTAGCGGTCGCCGAGGTGATGAGCGTGTGACCAAATGGAAACGGGACCAGAAGCGAGTGATTAATTTCGTTCGTTGATTGCAGACAACGGATGTGTGGCTGGGTCAACCATCGGAGGAAAATTGTTTGGAATGTACTTGTGGCCTAGGCCCAGTGTTGCGTTGAGGAGCGGAGTGCAAGAAGACATTTGTAAGGGTTGATATAGGGACGGCTTGGTGCTTTCTTTTCGGCATGCTTAGACGAGAATCGTTGGCTTTCCCGCTTGGTCTCGAGTGGAATCAATGTACTGCGATTTGCGCCATTGGCACTCCGCCATTAGACGATTTCACAACGCGTTTTGTGTGTGGTCTTGGCGTTGTTCTACTCAAAGGAAGCGGCTCGGATGACAACGTAGCCACAGCCGAGAAATTAGATTACTCAACCAACACGCCCCGGTGGGTGCCCGTTACTTTTCCGCAGGATACCTCTGGGCGGGTGGTTGTATACGACCTACTCTCGGGGACCATGCTCGGTGTGCTAGCCTTAAAGGACGATGCCATTACCAGTGTCGCTGCTGATAGGCCAGACAGGAACGGTGACGGAGCCGCTGTGTCCCATGAAACTGTCGCCCCGAAAGCAGGCATTATTTGGTCGGAAGGCGGAGAGTGCATGGCGGTGGTCATGCCACAAGAGCAGGTAAGATGGTGTTGTGTAGCGGGGGGCATATCACCTTATCCAGAGAAACAGTAGTCTGGCGGAATATCGCCAAGGCACTACCGGTAGGCAGAAAATGTCTTCCCCCGAAACAGCCGAAGCACGTCAGCCCTCGTCCCCTCGGGGGGTAACGTCTCGAGCTTGAGGTTTGTGCACCGAACGTGTTGTCCTTTTCTCCGGCAGGAAACGTCGGTCCTGTCACCGACCAGGAGCGACAGTGGCGGCGAGACCCTCGGTGTTTGGTCCGCGTCAGACTTGATGTGGGAGTTAAGCCCCGGCATGCGCGCGATGGTAGGAGAGGAGCGCCCTCTGTCGCCGAGGGACGTCGCGGAGCTTTTCTACGGTTTGCTTCCTCGATATCGCAAGGTGAAACCATGAGCGGCAGGCCGCGCCACCTTCTTGTGGCACTTCCTTTTCGCCCGCGGTTGTGCTTTCCCGGAAATTACGGGCTGTGCGGATGTTCACGCGACCCAGTCCAGCAAAGAATCTCCGTCAGGTTAATTACGCAAACGATTGCACTTCTGGTTGTCTCGAAGTTGACGTTCAAACGGACGGTCATGGGGTGTCCTTGTTATCACACGAAGCAGATCGATGGCCCCTCGCCGCTGTTTCAGGAGAATACAGCGGTGACTAGATGTCTTGATGTAGGGTCTACTGGAGCTTTCACGAGCCAAACGCGTCACTACTTGGCGGGAGTTGTATTCCGGCTCGTGTTTGGCACACCCGTCCGTGCACACTCGTGGTTGCCACACCGATTCCCCGGAACCTACGATAAAAGGTGTGATCTTGTCCGTGATTTGTGCCCACCATTCGTCTTGCCATTCCTATCCTGGCATGCAGGATCCCGAAATTATGCTGCAGAACATGAGCCACCAGTACGACCCCGGAAGAGGGGACACGGCCCCGCTCACAACTGGCACCACCAACCCCGACCCCGCCAGCACTCGCACCAAGGCGGGCGGGCGGTCATCGCGTGGGACCGGCAGTGGAAGTGGTCGTCTTGACCGCAGCAACACACCGCAGAGGGCAGCCGGAAGGGACAGGGTTGCGGCGAAGAAGGCGCCCTCGAACACAGTCTCGACAAACGTCACCCGCAATCCCACTACAAGAACGCCTCCCCACTACCAACACCCCACCACCCTGACCGAGCGCAACGTAGCCCGTCTTCTCGGGGCTGGCGGGCGTGGTGGCCCGATGGGTGGCGTTCTCGCATGCACGGGGGAAGGCGGTGCCGTTGGCAAGGACGGCCCTGCGCCGTGGGGCATGGAGGTTGGCGCGGCCGCGAGAGTGAAGCGGTACATGGAGGCTAGGCATACCGAGCGGGCGGTCAGGCAGGCGCGCCTTGAAAACGTCACTCGGAACCTTCTCCAGGCGTTGTGAAAGGGAACACTGCGATCGGGGGTACATGCATGGCGATCGTTGCTGGCTGTGATACAAGGCCGTGGGAATGAATGCCAGCCCCGTTGTATTGCATTCGCGCCTGCGACTTGTAGCTTGGCCGAAGGGGGGGGATGGAGCTAGTTCACACAATGTGACCGGCGCCGATGCCGTTGTCAAGGATGCAGGGGGGAGGGGGGGTACGAAGGTTCACATACGTTTATTACAGAGGCACCTATTCAAGCCCGCCGAAGGCCATGGTTGGCGTGTGGAGCCCGGCTGAGGGTGGTTGGGTAGATGCGTTTCGACGAGATGGACGAGTCAATGGACCTGGTTTGGTTCTGAACCCTGCACGAAACGGTTAATAACTATTCCTTCGAACGACTACAAGGTTTGATCTATGGGGAGCTTCCTACAACGGCAGCACTGAATCGACCTAAACCTTGTAACCTCCTGACGCCTACTCCAGGATTTCGTAATGCCAACACGAGAGAAGCTATCCTGCGCTCCCGGTATATTGACCATGTGCATTCACAGGGGCATCAAATGAAGGTCAAGTTCCAGCTACATCGTCAGTTGCAAATGTACCTGACTCACCACACGGGACTACAGCAGGCCAGAGTCTGACATCGCACAGGATTCTACGTGATCGCAGAACACCCATGACTTGGTGTTCTGCAGGAGTCGTCGGCCGTCGGGTGGTGGCCAAGCACAAAAGATGTCACTCTTCAACGTCGACAGAACATAGACTGGTTCTCCGAAAGCACGACTGGTCCGACGACACCAATTAATTAGCGACCGATGTTTCGTCCTGTGCTAGTGTTTGGGTGGGACGACGCAACGGATATACCACCCAACGCGTGGATCCTACATCCCGGCCCCTCCAACAGAAGGATCGCTTTCCTCAATATTCATCATCATCATCCAAAGCCTCCCTTTGTCTTCTTCAGCTCCTGCTGCAGCTGTCGGATCGTCTCCTGGTAACGCGAAACTGCGGTGACAGACGAAAGCGAACGAACCCGTTCGCAAACGATGCCAGGGACGGACGCTTCAACACGGCCCTCTCTCTGTGAATCCTAGATACTGTGTTGTTTCGGCTTTCGATAGGACGTCTACCGCCCGAAGGTGTAAATACGCTTGGCATGGAACTGTCTCCGAGGGAAATCGGGTACATGCCGCGGGGGCCCTTCTCCGCCCGTCTCTGGACATCAATGTGGCTCATGCTGCGTCTCTTGCGGGAAAGAGGAGAATCGGAGTAGGTATTAGGATAAATGACGAGAGGTTGAAGCAAAACTTGGCAGCTAGCTGTGACACATCTGAGGGCACCTGAAACGAAGGTGCAGTACAATGCTTCGCCCAGGTATGCTGATGGTGTAGATACCCAGGCTGTGCTTGGTTGACATTCGTGAACAATTGAAGTTGTCGTTGTCGTGGTCGTTAAGTCCTCTTTGAAGCGGGTATAACTACTCTGAAACTCTTGTGCATGTCGTACTGATCCCTACAAGTCGCTACGCAGCACGACAACCTATCAAGCACGCTTCGACTCCCCCCCCCTCCCCTCCCACGCTTCTCTGTGGGGAGTTTTCTTTCGACCTATACTCACCGGTGTCTCTCATGTACTCTTTGAAGCGCAATAGCTCGCTTTCGAGGGTGGCCTTGCTTGAAACCAGCCCCGCGTTAGTCCGCTCGATTCTTTCTAATTCCTTGACCAGTTCCTGCATAATGCGACGAAACCATGGTTTCCACCCGACGTCGCAAGCCTTCCAAATTAGGGCAGTGAGCTTAGGGGTTGTTCCGACTGCGGCAAGTTGCCTGCATCTGGTCTTGACATTCTTGGTACTGCTCAAGGGACGGGTGGGGCGGCCCATGGGAGGTCGTATTGACCCACCCATGCGGACGGCTCACAGGGCGCGTGGGACGTCCTACGCACTAGGATATCCCTTGGGGTGTCCCACGCGTCTCGGGCGAAACGTTTGGTACTTTTCAGTGGTGTCGAATCGTCAGGTTAGGGGCAAGGTTGAAGTGAGGGATAGTGTTACTACTACGCGCTCCACGTGTCCCACGGATGCCAAATGGGCGTCTCATGGAACGTCCCACGCGTCCCACGCGTCCTACGCGCCCCATACATCCCATGGGCATCCTCTAGGCCGTCCCAAACCTGACCACAGGCGGATGCGGGCGGCCACCATGCCCGTCCCACGGGGACGCCAACGCGGCGCGTGGGAAGGCCCATGGGGCGCCCAGAACAGCCCATGCGAGGAGCACGGCACGGGCCGTGGTGTAATCCGTGGGGCATCCCGTTGACGGGAGCGTGGGCGTCCCATGTGTTGAGAAGCACGATCACCACTAGACCACCAGTCAGCGTTGACTAGTGGTGTAGTGGTCATCGCCCTTCTCAACAAAAGTTAATGCCCGTGTCCGGTCTGGCTTTGCAGCCACGAACACGTCCCCCCAGGGTTGCCATGCCTGTCATGAGCGATGTGCTTGCAAGATCGATACAAGCAGGTCATCGGCTCATTTTGCAAAGCCTATTTTTCCCAGACTTTTTCTTCCTGATAAATTCGGGCGCAAATA